CACCCCTACCCCACCGCCCTCAGTTCACCCTCCCAGCACTCACCCTATCTGCTCAGAACCCACCAGCAATACAGCCCCCCCAGCCCATCAGCCCCCCGCTCACTTCAGCTCCCCTGTACCCCCCAGGCCATAATAAACCCCTCCCAGCATCACCTCTGCTCCTCCTGGGGTTCTTAACCCTCCCTAGGCAAGGGAGCAGCCGCACTGGGGTGGTGACAGCGGGAGCCCCAGCCGCGCCCAGGGCAGCTGACAGGATTTCAGAGTAAAATGAAGCCTCATTTTTAGAACTCTCAAATGTCGGGATTTTTTTTCAGCCACAGCTGAGAGTTCTATCATGAGATCATGAGTGAGGCTTAATTTTACTCAGAAATCACATCTCTCTCACTCAATTCGTGAGAGTTGGCATGTCTGCTAATAGGTAATGTCTACCTAACCCATTTTGACATTTTTTTCTTTTGACATATAAAGTAGGGATAAAACAGAAATGTCTATTTTTGTATGTTGAATTTTCCCATTCTTCATTGTACCACTTGTGCATTTGCTAATAATAATAATATTGCCAGGGGATGTGATGTATGGGCATAAAGAGTTCTGAAAATGAGGTGAGATGTTCCTCTCTGATTTTCCAAAAGGCTCATTTTTAAATTCTTAGATCTACGGAGATCCACTGCTCACCTCCTCTCCTGCACCCCAGCCCATCTGGTTAACCCAACCACTAGTTACAAAGTCTAAGAGAGGAAATAATCGACTTTTCTGTTTTTAGGGAAGATCTGGGCAGCCACCAGTAATATGTTGCTCAGCTCCTGTCAAATGCAAACTTGAAACAAAACCTGAACTATGGTGCTGCCAATGAGCCACCATAATTCATAAGGAAGTTTTCACTCCCCCTTTGATCCCAGAAATTTACCTTTGTCCCACTGAGGTATAGATGACAGTGAGTCTAGAGGAAGAAAAGGGTGAAAAAGATGAAATGTCAGGTTGTCATGGTTAGGGATATATTCACATTGTTAATGTTCTAACACAAAAGCAAAATGAAAAGAAAACAAACTTTATGCAGTTCTAGTTAAAGGAAGTTAAGTGCAATTCAGACCAATACAAACCATTACACACATCACTAAAAACTAACCACAAACATTAAAAACTAAGGACATGACCTAAGGTTACACGACAGACCCACAGATGTTTGACCAGCGATTACACACAAGTGGCTGGCCCATCACACTCGACTTGGACTCGCAGGGCTCGGGCACTGGGGCTGTTTCATTGCGGTGTAGATGCTCAGGCTTGGGCAGAGGCCTGGGCTCTAGGACCCTGCAATGGGAGGGGGTCACAGAGCCCCGGCTCCAGCCCGAGCCCGAACCTCGTGAGCCGGAGTCAGGGGACATGGGCCAGCCACAGGTGTTTAATTGCTGTGTAGAGAAACCCTTTGAAACCAACACATAATTCACAGACAGACCCACACACAGACACTTTTTCACTGATTAGCATTCGATCAACTTTAAATCATAGGACCTAACAACATCAGCCATACCATCAGGGGCTCGTTCACCTGCACATCTACCAATGTGATATATGCCAT